TTGGATCAAAATGCTAAACGAAGTGCATGTATAAAGCACTTAATTGGCATCATAGTGAGCCCAAAGCGCTTTACAGACCTTCACAGTCACTTATTTGGAAACAATGTCTTGAGAGGACATTTGTTTTTTGTGTCGAGTGTATAGTTTAAAATGACTTCCTTTGGCTGTTGACAAAAGGGTTTTTTTTTTTTTTTTTTCCTGTAGGTACATTCTTGTTCCGCCAAGCGGCTGCATGCTTGCTAGCTCGCTGTCTCTTCTCTCTGGTGGCTGACTTCCGCCACATTACAGAGTGAGTTGAGAGGCCTGCAGCGGACTAGCGACAGAGGCGTCGATGCGACTGCCGAGCTGGGCTTTGTTGACCGTACTGCTTGCCATTCTAGCTGTTCTTACAGCAGCTCTGTTCTATTTTTAATTAATACACATTAATTTGTGTGTGTGAGGTCACGGTATTTGTAGATAGATCGGTTTGCTGGGGTTGTGGGCTCAATTAAACTACAATAAATGAGGAAACATTCTTAATTCCAAAGAGTGATTATTCCATCAATTTTGCAAAGAAGGTTACAAACTAGCAGGATCGGTTAGCTTGATGATGCACAGGCTGCATAAGCAACCTGGAAACTGAATTCAACACGACCCCCACCGCATCCTTCGGATCCAAGTGAAGGGCCCTTTATCTGGCCTATTTCATTTGAATGGGAATGAATATTTGTCCTACCCTGGGACGTTGTTTCCCGTTGTCCACTGCATCAGCAAACAAAGAGATCAATGGTCCCGGTCTTTTCAAAGATTCTGGACTTTTTTGTCTTTCAACTCTAAGAATGTCCTTTCATCTACAGGCTGCAGTGGTGTGGGTTATAAAGAAAGGGACATTCCAAAGCAGGAAAGGACAGTCTAACTGGAATCAAACGGTAAAGGAAAAGGATACAGCGGTGGATGGATGGTCACCAAGCCGGCTTCATGTCGAGATGGTTGAAGTCGAATGGCGCAAGGCTCCCTGTTGTCAGTACAAATAGGAAAGAAAAGCCGTCTAACGAAAAACAAACAGTCTGCTAAGGCACCCTCGCACTCAGTCTACTTCTCCCACACACTGTTAACAGGCATTGTTATACATACTGAGGTGGCATAACAAGATGTCATTTAGTTGCCCCCCTGTAGCTGCGTTTAAGGAACATTTTAGCGGCGGCTCAGTATCCGTGCGGCTTACGGATGTCAAATGCCGTTACTTGGAATATTATTTATTCAATGTATGCAACTCTGTGCTCCACATTAGCCCCCTTCAATCGAGGTGATATTAGGAGAACAATGCGGGTAGTTTTATGGAGGATGCAAAGATATGAACGGCAACTGTTTTTCTCTGATAACCTCAGCTGGTTACTTTTTGATCCTGCTAAATTAAGATAAAGGACTTGGTTAATTAAACTGTCACAAGGCAATCCCTTGAGGAATTGCAAGGCCAACACAACTTTAATTGGGTGACTCAGATTGTCCCTGCGTTGCCTCCTTTCTCAGGGCAGCAGCCCCCGGGAGAGAAAACAACACCCTCCTTGCTGCTGGCAAATGTTGAAGGGAATGTCAAGTGTGAACATTTGAATATGGAGGGATAAGGGTCAAGATGTTGACGCCATAGATTCGTTAATATGCTAATATATATATATATATATAGAGAAAGAGAGAGAGAGAGAGAGAGAGAGAGAGATCTTACTCTACATTTAGCCATACGCCAATCAATAAATTGAAAGGAAAAGAAGTGTGCTGAATGGCAAGATACGAGTGGTTCAAATTCATGACTAGTTTTAATTGGTGTTTCTGTATTCAGGAATGAGGGGTTTTTTTTTTTTATATTTCTACATTTGACTAATCACTATGGTTGCAAGATAGGTCGCCAAAACCCTTTGGACATGTTAGCGAGCTTAAGCTGCATCTGTAATTACCAGCAGCCAATTAATACACGACCTCTCATCCAAGCTCAAACCACAACTCAAATCTGTTATGGGGATTTCGGATGCTGGCTGCACATCAATGCGCCGGTGTTTCTCATGTACAGTGCTCTTGGGAATGTTTTTTTTTAATTATTTTATGTACACACACACACACACACCACGGGTGCACACCTCTGTATTATTAATTTTCAGGTGTGTTTAAGTAAAGCAAGTTACTTATTTCGTGTATTTTTTATTTTTTTTAACATTTGTTTTTCCTTCTTCTGGGGTGATAGGTGAGCGGCATACCTGGTTTCCACTCCTTACCAGTAGGTGGCGGTAACACAGTCTCTTGCAAAGCGTCATAAAATCCCGTAAGATGAAGAAGAAGAAGAAGTTGATTTCAGATCTAACAATTGTAGAAAAATCGTAATGTTTCTACAGAAAAGATGTATTGTCCTTACTGGTTAAGTGTAGCACTAATATGAATATTTGAACCCCGTAAAATCTCGTGTATCATATGGACCCGTGTATAATACTCTCCCCCAATCTACCTTTAAAAAAAGTAGTTTAATAGTAGTGGTACCTCTTGTTTGCAAAGCCACAGTAACATCCATTTAAAATTGCTCCTGCAGCCAACCGCATCCCTGAACAGGACATGAGCAGTGAAAAATGGATGGATGGATTAAACAGGTGAAAACATTTGTTTTCTCTGCGAGCCAGATGCAATCATCAAAAGATCCACACCTGGCTCGCGAGCCATAGGTTCCAGACCCCTGGTCTAGGCACTGGTAAACAACTACACATTTTTGTGTCATATTAACACTCTTGTATAATACTGTTCAGGATTTTTGGGGGTGGGGAGGGAGTTTACAGTTCATATTAGATATTGCATCACGCACCACATTAATTTGTTTCCTTTGTCCGATATACTTTTCATAACATGCCTGAGATTAACTGTTTCTTAAAAAAACAGTGGTGTTGTTGTTGCTGGAGCGTGCGTCCTCGACAGCATCGTCTGCGGTGATGTTTTGAAAACAGCTGTCCATCTGGCGCCGAAGGTGATCGAAATCTATCTTGATTAACAAGTGGGAAATCTGTGTGATGGTGCCCCTTGCATCTTATCAGCTCCCAAGTGGGGATCAACCGGGATGAAGTTTTCATCCGAGGGATAATCTAGTTTCCTGGATTGTGATAAAGCTGCTCAGGATGATCAGGAGGATGAGAATCGGGTTTGGGCGCCGTAGCTGAGTGGGGGTCACGAATGCCTGCAAAAGCATTACCTTTTGTGCTCGCGTGGTAGCGAAAAAGAAACAAACATGGCAGTGAGAGAGTGAATCGGTATCCAATTTGATGTCCCACCATGGCCTCTTTCTGATGTTGGGGTCCAGCTGTTTCATCAACATGACAAGTGCTTCAGGAAACTCCCTCATTGTTCAGTGACCAATTTGCAAACAAACCAGAATGCTGTCAACAGGCGTTTTCTGCCCAGCGGCTTGCGTTTCTCCACACCCGTAATTTGGTGCGGGGTTTGTAGGGTAGGGGAAGGGGGGGGGTCAGGGGGAAATTGGGGCGGAAAGGCAGTCCACACTTGGATTAGGTTGCCTCTCTATGTCGAGATTAAATGGAATAGTGTACTTTTAAAATGGCCGAATTTAAAAGGGAAAACATTTCAGTGTACCTCCATCGCAGAAGTTGTGTTTTTAATTGCTAAAAGTATTTAGCAGAGTTCCAAAACATTTTGGAGGGTTGGGGGCGGAGGATTAGTGAAAACTTTTTTGCATTTCAGATTATATCTTCAGATATTCCCCGCATTTCTAAAGCAATAATTTAGATCATTTTAGGTAGTCGTGCCTGACCTTGTCACAGATCACTTTTCGCAACGTCACTGTGGTGCAAATTTCCTTACATATCTAATTTTATTTTGGCAGATTGTTCTTTTCTTTTTTTTTTTTTTTTGGCTAAATTGAGGGACTTTTCAATAAACCATAGTCCAAAATTTGGGCTCATATCACACGTTTCACTCACTCACTCACACACACACACACACACACACACACACACACACACACACACACACACACACACACACACACACACACACACAAAGGACAAAGTTTCAAGCGGCTACCGCAAAGCAAAACTGGCTGACAGAATTGCATGTCTACGGTAAGCATTGTTCGCTAATGTAACGTAGCCTACCACTGCTCGTCAGAGTGAATTGTAATCCTTCCATAGGTGGTCAAGGATACGCCGAGTGATTTCAATCGCTCTATAACAAATGGTAACAAACTAATCTGAGACTTGCTTCCCTGTCTTTCAGAAAAGAAATTTAGTTCATTGATGTGATGTTGATTTAATGATTGATGCTAATGCTAATGAGTTGGGCGTGTCATTGGCTCAAAAAAGGCTAGGCAAGTCATCTGTAGGCCTTCCCGACAATGAATCTATCGACTTATCGTTGAAGAAATAAACTGGACAAAGTCGTTTTTTTTTTTTTCCAGATTCGATAAACTGCCATTTGCATGTGTGTTTGTTTACATATGTCATCAACAGGCAACAATAGCCAACCTGCTCACCTCAGTGGGTGGTGAGACACACACACACACACACACACACACACACACACACACACACGGAAGGTGAAAACAGCGTGGAGGCAGAGACAAAAAAAAAATTAGCATACTCAAGGCTACTTTTTCTAACGGCTTCAGTTGTACAATTCCAGAAAGTTGAGCAGCATGAATGTAATTAGTTCTCAAGCCTAATGCCACAATGGGAACGTTTTGAATCCAAGCCAGCTGAATGCCAAGTGGCCCGCTCACGTCAGCGAGCCGCTGTCGCGTTTGTTTGAAGAAAGTCGCAACACAACGAATGTCGAAATCCATTGAAAGCACAACCGTTGCAGCCAATTTCTTCGACTGCTAACAAAAAAAAAAAACCCACACACACACACGCATGGCAATTTCCCTGCAGCTTGCAATTATACAGTCGCGCCTCACATATAGCGTGACTCCCTTTATACAAAAAGAGATGCAGCCATTCAACACTGTTGCAAAACCGGCATTTGAAGATATGCCGCAGTACCAATTGCCTTAAAAGACGTGCAGGTGAAAGAAGATGCTCTCAAGGAAAGAAAAACATCGATTTTACCCTGCCAGTACTGAGATGTGGTTCAATGTGCTTGAGAAAAGAACGACATCAAGGATACTGCCGTTTATTGCGATCATTTCCGGGAAAATATAATTCACGTCGGATGACGGAGGTGTGCGCTGCTCTTGAGCAAGTCGTAGCATTTGGACTGTTTGGAAAACCCGCGAACACAGCCTCACGACGTACATTATCGTGTCGAGTTACGTGGCATTTACTCTTTGTGCTACTTTGCTAGCTTTGCTTGTGAAACTTTTCAGAATTGTGATCAGGCGGCGGGTATGTGCGTGCATGCGTGCGCGCGCGCGTGTTTTTCCAGGCATCTCTCGAGTCCATTAATCCCAAATCTAACAGATTTACTGCATAGGCAGCCTTTGATGTGTGCCGAATCCCTCGCTGGAATCGTGGAGACAGCTTCCGGAATGAATACTCACTCCCCTTTCTCTTGTCAGGAATAGATTTGCTTACTTTTTTGGCGAGGCCTGTCCAGCAGGACAGCTGCTGCCATGTTGTGAGTCCAAAATCCAGGTGCGCTTTCACCACCGCGACTGCGATCTGTAATTTTACATGAGTGATCTCTTTTAATCCCATTCTTATTTTATGTAAGCCTTATAATCTTTGACCCTAATCTTAAACCGTCACACCGAATTGGGCAGCACGAAGAGGAGTCGGTTGTTTTTTCCAATCCCGTGCATTTGTTTGGCGGAAAAAATGACCGTCTTCAAACCTCTGGGCTTTCTTTTCAGCGAGTTTATTACAATGTCTATCCATCTATTGGTGTTTTCGTTGCAGCGGCCGGGACTTCGACGCCGCCTCTTTTAAAGCCGCCGTTCTCCAGCGTAATGAAAAATGGAGATGCAAAGAAAGTTTAAATTAGATCGCGAGATGGAAAATACATTTGTATTTGAAATGATTATCCACCCCCCCTCGCGGCTAGACTAATAGACCATGATTGCATTTCCTGTGCATTCCTGTTCTTTTAATCGAATCACACTTCTAAGCAGACGAGTGAGCGTGAGTGTTTTATGTTTATCCATCCTGCGACGCAAGCAACCAGTGTCTAGACTGCAAACGCCAATTTGGCCGCGGCGCAGAGAAACATCAATGCTAAAGCAATGTTGCTGAAACACCAGGCAGGGTTCTCAGTCTCCCCGAGAGCGGAGAGTGCGGTGACAGACAGATGGCGATAGGAGGAGGAGCAGAAAAAGACGGGTTGGCAGAGCTCGCTGTGGCTAATACATCCAAAGTGTGTCAGTTAGCTCTCGAAATGCGTTCGGCCCCGGGGTTGAGAAAGCTCCGCTCAACCTTCCTCCCGCCACCTTTTCACTTAACCTCTCTTGTAATTCAGCCAATATCCTTCAGGGAACGACATTCCTCTTCAATGGCCAAAATAATCAAATGCCAACATACGAGTGGACTGTTTTCTTATTACTGGTAGTCTCATGAGGACGGGTGCCGAATGTTTGTTATCCGTAATACCAGTACTGTAATCCCTCGTTTTTCGTGGTTAATGGGGACCAGAAACCCCTTGCGAGATAGGCTCCTCCGCCCTAAGAATTTTTGTATATGTGTACCAGCATGTTTAAAAATATATAGACGGTGTTTCGGTTTTACATATTTGAGACAAAGATGACAACAGTACATGCAGTTACTTACAGTACATGCTCTAACCACTCGATGGTGCAGCTGAGGTTTTTAAATTCCCGAAAAATCGCGGTGACGGGTCGCGCTATGACGTTCATCATCATCTTATTAGTTGAAATACGTTTAAGGTTTGGCGGCACGGTGGTCAACTGGTTAGCACGTCGGCGTGTCGGACAGGACAAGATAGAAGATATTTGACCAAGATGTGAGGGTTGTGGGCTAACCCGAATTTGAAAGGATAAAACCAAGTAATCAGTCACTAAGTTAGTTATTTTAAGGCAACCGCAGCAGCAAAGTTTGTCATGTGTGTTTGCTGCGTGTGTTCTTTGTGGCAGGCCATTTTTCTGTGTTGTGTATGTCGTCTAAAAATGTGATTGATCGGGGATTTCGCATTCGGTTGCACCGCTGTACATTCATTCTCAAGATATGACATTAAAGGAACAAAAATGATGACGCTGAAACAAAATTTGCTCTTGCAAATAAATAAAGCGGCATGGCTCAGGAAGTCAAGTGACCTTCTGAAAAATGGAAAGGTTACCAGTTCAAAAATTGACTGCGCTCATGTTCTCGCGGCTGCGTGACACGCATTCTTGATTTTTTATTTTTTTTTCGCCTCGTGCGAGGTATGTTGATTGACTTTTTTTTGGATGCTTGACATCGTGATTGAGGAATAAATAAATGAAGCCGGGAAAAAGCCTGCACACAGTAGAACAGATTTGCTGGATTCATCAATCGGCAGCAAAAATCAGGCATGCGCCTAAATGGGCAGCGACGGCAGAATTTTTAGAGCCGTCTCTTATCCGACATCATTCATTCAAACCAACTTCATGTGCGAATTATTTGTCCTTGTAGCGGAAGTATGATTCATTAGGTGATTCAATCTATTTGTTTTTCTGGTTTGACCTGTTATAATGTGGCATTGGGCTTGAATATTGTTTCCGAACTTCATTCATTCATTCATGAATCAATTCATACAAACACCAATCATTTAATTTGCGTATCCTCTTAATTGTTCTCCATTCACTTGACGGTTCCAAAACCTGACACCGTCACAAAGAAATGACCGCCCGTCCGTCGCATCTTTCTATTTCTGCTCGTCCCCTTACCGAAGGTCATGCATTACACGGGGCGATATTGATACGCGGCCACTCGATACCGTACTCGCGCATATGTGATGTTGCCTTTGCAGCGATGATTCTGAAACGGGGAAAATGAAGCACTCCTCGTAATCCCGCTAAAGCAGTACACATGGGGATGATTACTCGCACAAAGCCACGGCACCCGGAGTTGTTGAAATCCTTTTGTTCAAAAGAGAGCGACAAACAGAGAGGCAGACGGGGAACAAGTCGGAAAGAAAATGATTTAATTCGCTCAGTGTGACAGGATTGCGTGTCGTCTGCTCGAGCTTCGTTTTGTATGGGTCGGCTGAATAAAACCCCGTGCGGGGATTGTAAGACAGACAGATGTGCTGTATAGTTTTCCTATTTCATGCTTGGCCCATACTTAGTGCTCTCGCTCTCTCTCGTGCGAGTATCTTTTGTCATTGACTCAAATAGTTTTTTTTTGTTGTAAAAGGTTACGATATGACTGACAGCCCATTTGATTTTGCTAAATATACCCACACACACTGTGAGGGTGTCGTGTGGGGAGCAAAGCCGCAAAACAATGCGCTCCTTCATTTACGTCTGTAAACAGTAGTAGTGGGAACCAAGTCATGATGCAGGCAAGCTGTGCTGTTTATGTTGCGTCTGACTGAGCACGCTGAGCTGCGCACAATAAAGCCCAGGCACATGCGCGCTTTGCTATATTAAGATGACAATCTGCCATAAACTCAGGCTAAAGGAATAAATATACCCAAAAAAAGAAGGGGTGGGGGAAGGGGGGGGGCAAGGCGGTCCAGAAGAATCCCCTGTCACGGTGCAATCCCCCATGTCCTAATTACACAGGCTTAGAGGAAGCGACGGATTAGCTACTGATTCACCACGCTTCTCGTCTCATATTTTAATAAGTCTCCTTCTTGTTCCCTTGTTGCCATCCGACGTGTCTTTCCTCAGGTACAAGTCACATGTTACAATTAACCGGCGACGTCACCTTGCTTTGGTGGCTTTGCGGTTTTTTTTTTTGTTTGTTTACACATATCCAGGCCAACGCCGTACGGCATGAACCGCCTGAGAAAAATACTGGAGTGTCTTCAAAAAAACAAAACAAAACAAAAGCTCAAAACCAAAGGGCAACCCTTGTTGCTAGCAGGGGCACAGCCAGAAATTCTTCAGTGGGGGCGGCCTTGGTGACACAACGGCATCATTCTTGATCAGACCATTCACCGTCAAGGTTTCATCAAGTGAAATTCACGTCCATCCAGAACAGTGCCCGCCACGCTCATCATCAAGCAGGAACAAATGTCGGTAAAAAGCGACGTTTCGTTCAAGTCATATCTTAAAAAGCGGACACATTTCTTGATTCTTCCCAATTCCAAACGCTGCGTTTTACATAAGCGTGCTGCTGCTTGTATTATAAGCGTGTGTGTGCAAGACGGGTATAAGGTGTATTTCATTTCATGAAACCGTGACTGTGGACGGTATGATAAACAATGACTTCTCAGCCATGTTGTGAAAGTCGTGATTTTGATTGACGTTGGCTTGTAAGAATCGTCAGTCCTTTGAATTAAAATGAATCATGTTAATCATTGTAATGTTTGCATTCAGATCAATGTTATATTCACTCTTTAAATATGGCATTCATAAAAATAACTTGTGGCGGAGGAAAAATCACAAAGATCAAAATTTTACCCCAGGTGGCCACAGCTATCCTGTAGCACCTGGTTGCTAGCGTTTCACGCAGTCATCATTAAAATGACAAGAGTTGCCATATCTGATCTGGTTTATATTCCAACAAGAGATGCATACGACCGCACCCCTTTAAAGATGAACTACTATGAAACATAAGAAGAGCCGCTCTGCTTTAATTTTGGTTGAAGTGGACAGCGGGATTGGCATCCTTTGCATGAGGGGAACCCAATTTGAGGCATAACTTTCACCCAAAAATGTTTCTATGCAAAATGAGTCATTTTATGAATGAATCGACTTTGAGTTGGCTGACGTCTTTGCACTCTACATCCAAGTTAAGCCAACTATAGTTTGATCGTGTTTGATAGCAGGAACACGGCGCCAGGAGAAACCTATGGTCCTCTCAGACATCGACAGCTAATAGCTTGCCTGTGGCTGCTCTCGTGAAATTGCTCCATCGTTAAAACACTCAAGGAGTGCGAGAAAGATGAGTTGAAAAGTGAGCCGTGGCCCGAGGACATTCGAACAGCAACGGTCTTTTTCCATCCAGTGACTTAAAACCCTCCATTGGTTTGGCCCACGCGACAACCTTGCTTGACCCCGCAACTTCCTTCAACTCTGCTCCTGAAATGAAGTCAAGGGAAAATCTATCCACTGTGAATTGCGAACACTATAAGGATGTTGCATGTGTATGTCTTTGAATGTAATTTGTTGTGGTCTCATGTGTTTGTCAAGTACCCGGATGCTACAAAAATGGTCACCCCCTCGGTTCGAGAAAGCAACCCAGACACCTGTCATTGAAATAACTTGAAACTGATGAGCCCGCTCTTTGCCAAAAATGCATGATGACAAGCCACAAAGCTTCTGTGAGAATTTCCTTTGCGCAGATGAGTCAAAACTGGGTCTTTTTGGCAAGGCGCTTCGGCTCTATTTTTATCGACGCAAAAAATAAAGCATCTAAAGAAACAAATGCTATCTCTTGTGAAACATCAATAAGATCTTGGCAATATTTTGGGGGCTGATTTGCTCCATCTGGCACAGAGTATGGTGAATTTGTGCAGGCTATAATCAAATCTTACCCCGATGAAGGCATTCTAAAATGAATGCCGCAAAGTATCCGAAAGCTTTGCCTCAGTTGCATGTCATGGTTCCAACATGACCCAAAACATTCACCTGAAAACACACAAGAAAGACGAAGAACAAAACAAACTGAGGGCGACCTAATTATCGCTGATCAGAAGCGGGTAGTGTAGCCAAAAAAAAAAAAAATGCAGGTACTGAGTTAGAGTGTGATCATTTTTCAAAACTGAGCAGAAACCTCAAATGGACCAAAAATATATAAGAGGAAGGTGTAAATTTCGATATTTTATAACTGTCACTTTAACTAAACTAATCAAGTTCTTGGCCTGGCGGTGTTTTTGCTCACTAGCATCTGTGGCTAATGGAGTTACTCGCCACTCAGCATTTTCACCAGCCACGATTTGGCTTTCTGTCTGATCCGTGTGCAGCTCAGGTGATTACGACCTGACCTGTAGACTTAATTGGCTGAGGAAAGTCACGTGGGATGGCTTAACTGACATCATTGGTCTGTACGCTTCGTCAGAACCGTGAAGTCAGTCATGCTGTGCCGCTTAAAACAGAAGTTAAAACAGTAAGCTTTCTATTTTGGGCTCCAAATATGGATCCGGATAGAAAATTCAAAATCAGCCAAAATCTTCAATTAACTTTCTCGGTTCACACTTGTGAAATTGGCTCAGCAGGTTCAGGTTACATCAAACAACAGGAACGAGGCAGTTCAGCGCCTGCCAGAACTGTTTTTTTTCTGTCATGTGTAATGTGAAGTTAGATTGAATGTGAGGCCACGGGTGTCCCGCTTTTTCTGACTGTGAGTCACACAACGCCGTTTTCTTCATTGTTTCTGACACGCATCACGTAAATTAGCCACTTTGGAAACTTTGCCTTCGCGTGGGTCCGCGGAGACTTTGTATGTGCTCATGTGATGGCCTGTCTCAGTTAAATCGGTGAAATGGAGTCAAATGTTGCGAGCGGTTACGTTGAATTGGTAAAATACACACTGACAGCACCCGTGACAGAAGTCGCGCCAACAAACTAAAACAAACAGATTGCGCAAGGTAGATGAGAAAAATACAAGTCACAAGCAGACAGCTGCAATACACTGAAAAAAAGGTTTTGTGGAATTGACTCCATTTTATTTCGTCAAGTGATCCGGACATATTCTTTTAAGAAGGCTCTACTTCGAAAAGTTGATCTGGATCCTGATGATTTTATTTTGTGCCACCACTTGACGGAATATAATGGATGAAATTCAACACGGCGGCGTTGTTTTCAGCGGTCTCGAGGGGCCAGAAAGACCCTTGTCAGGATAAAGCGGATCAGAAAATGGATGGAGGGATGGATTGATTTTACTTTTGTCACTTTCTGATTATTTCGGTGACAATGTTGCGATTTCCCTTCTTTCCCAACAATGTAATCCTTCTTTGCATGTTGTTAAAAAAAAAAAAACTAAAAAAAACAAACAAAAAAAAAAAACCAGCAGCAATTTTCAGCGTGTCGTCACACATCATTGATGAAGTTCTCAGATAAAGACTGAATGATGGTGTTGCCAGCCCCTTTAGCCGTAGACGTTAGCAAACCAGTTTGGTCAGATTTCAGTTCTTCCCACCTTGGATTGTTAACCGTTAAGAAAACAACCTGACGTGACACTTAAATCTGACACCCTTCATGATAGACAATAGCCATGCTGCGTACAAAGTATTCGCGGTTGTGTTTGTGTCACAGTTTCAATTGTATATGGCTGCTTGATGATGTAACATTCCTGTTTTGAACCAGTGGCAATTTGTAAAAATGGGTCGGATCAGACTTTCAATGACAGATTTTCATGTCATGTTCGCGACACGCTTCCCATTCATTCCGTCTTGACTCAGACAGGAATATACACATCCACACGCAGATCTGCCACAGCCATGATAAAATATTGTTGCTAACATGGCAACCGTTTTGGATTTTCTCGGCCCACGTTGTGCTTTTAATGCTATCGTTTGTGCTTGGTTCAAAAGAAAATGGGCCCTTGTGCGTTTATCAGCCCTACCCCCGGCACCGCTCCGCTCCCATCTCCGCAACGGCCGGACCTTTCCCGTCACCCGCAGCAGACATCGCCGCTTGCTCACCATCGATTCGGCTTTGTGTGTTTGTTTTTGTTTGAAGATGAGCTCGCTTCGCCCGGTCCTGCTCCGCTTGAGTTTGTGTCCCGCGCTCTGCTCTGCATAAACGCTTTCTCCTCGGGGTGTTCTTTAAACAACTTAGCCGGGGCATTAGCTGATGGAGGGCCCTGCGGTTTGTGAAGGAATGCCTGATGAGAGGACATGTTTGATCCTGAGATATACGTCCTTGCTTGAGTCTCGGTATCGCCAACCACCAGGCTCCCTTACTGCCGCTGCTGCCAAGCATTTCCCGCTACGCATCGCCATTCTATTGCCTCCCACTGCGATAAAAGCTATTATACAACCCCCCCCCTCGCTCCCCCGAAAAAAAAAAGTATCCCTTTCTTCTTAATCCCCGGCTAAACCGCCCACAGTCCTCTTCTCCTCATACTTGACCACATTCTCGAGGACTTTGGAATGAGCAATTATATGTTGTTCGCCAGAAATGTATCGCAATACCTTTCATGAATAGTGTTTGATACAGCGTCATGGCCTGCGTGTTTACGGTGCACTTCTAAACGGTAAAGCAGTGGTCCCCAACCACCGGTCCACACAGAGACAGACCTGACCTGTGAGCAAATTTACGCCATCGGACGTGGCGGAAATGGACGCAACTCTAGCCAATTGGAGTGCCCCGCCACTCCTCTAACGTTGGTTGGCAAATTGAAATAAACAGAGCGCGCCCATAAATGAAAAACAAGAAGCGGTAAACAGAAAGTAATCGTAACACATTGACCCAAGGTACAGCTAAGTGCGCAGCTAAACGCGCCATCTTGACTTCCAAAGATGATGCTATTTTCCCAAGAGAAGTTTCTCCCTTGGCGACGTGGAGAAGGAAGCTGTTGCGCAAGGTATGTCGTCCGAAACAAGGCGATACAAGGAACCCGTTGAATCATTTGAACAATGATCAATGGGAAAGCATGAAAAATGTGAGCAGAGTTGGCACAGCCTGCCCACATAAACATGAGCAGTTTCGTCGCTAACAACTAACCGGCAGCTACTAGCAATAATGCTAACATCGTATGTAGGTTCATAACTTAAAAATTATTCTTTTTACATTATAAGGCATATTCGTCATTCCGAATTGGTCCATTTCTTAGTCGTTCACTGTTATTCTATTCTACGTTTGTCGTACAGTAGTGTAACACAGTTTGAAATGAGTGGGAAAAAAAACATCTATGTGAATAAAATGTTCAATTGCTCTGTAATCATCGTTGTTGTCAGTAGCAGCGCTTTAAAACGGGCAATTTAAAAGCAATGAAAAAAAAACAAGGTTGCCGGTCTGCGAAACAGCATATTCTTGTCTAAACCGGTCCGTGACACAAAAAAGGTTGGAGACCACTGGTCTGAAGTATTTATTTGTCATTGACAGTTCCCACATTTGACTGTGATGAGAACAGCAAAACTGCAAGTCAGTGTAAATATACTTGTATGACCTCAAAACAAACGGAGGAGCACCACCCTTATTTATACTTCGGGTGGTGAAAAACAATCGCATGATCAAGGCGGGAGGATGTTCCTGCTCCTGTTGTGATATCAGAAATTTCACCTCTAGTTAACAAAAATATGAACGCTGTTTTTACCCTGCATTTTCTTTACACTCATTGGTGTCACATATTGAGTTAAAAAAAAAATGCCACTGCTTTTTTTTGCTGATAAATAAATAACTTGTGGTCCACTCAGTAAAATAACCTTTGAGTGGCCAATAAATGAATCGTTTTTTTCATGCAAAGTGCTGTAGTTTGCAATGCACTTGACAATGATCCTCATTTCATCAAGCGGTGAACCGAGACCTGGTCGCTATTGAACATTTGCTCTGGACGTTTTCATCTGTGCAGTTCCAATATTTAGTTAGCTGATTCGGTTCGAGCATTAGAGGAGGGGCCCGCATGCATCAGATGGGCTCAACAGCAGTAGGCGAGGAGATTAAAAAGACAATAACGCACACATGGAGGCACACACACACACACACACACACACACACTCGACGGTCTCCCTCAGGTGAGCAGGTGCGACTGTGGTCTGTCACAGATGCTCTCTGCAACTTGTCAGCTGCCATTCCTCCTGTCCAGCATGGTTTCTGATGGCAGGCGGGGGGGTTCATATGATGCTTCACTATTACTGTGTTTTGGGATTACAGCACTCGTGTGTCAGCCGGCTTTTTTGTTTATTTATTTATTTTTTTTCTTTGTTATGTTCAGGCTGAGAATTTGGAATGGAAAGTTCCAAAGTCATACTTTTGAGTTGAATTTAAAAATCATTTTCTCCATACATTCTATAGCATCATAAAACGTGTTGTTTCCAATGTACACGGCATTTTTTTTTTTAATGCATGATTGGAGATTTGCCTCACGCAGGCACGACAATGCTCCTGCCTCTCGAGAATAGTCACTTTGCATTTATTATCACGTTGAACCTTTCATCCAATTTCCCGTTCAATACTTGTGACAAGACCATCAGTCCATCCCCGTGCTCACTTTGATGTAACGCGCTTGAAACCGTTTCCTCCCACCCTCCCCGCACGAGAAGAGCCGCGTGTGACAGAGGGACATTAATCACATGGATGGGTAATAACGCAAAGAGGTTTGGGGAGGAAGCGCCATGGTGGCAAAAAAAGGTGCGGTTAGGGAAATCACACGTTGCTTTATACACACACTGACAACACAAACGCGTTGCCGTGCACAACATCGCCGTACTATATTGAGAGCTTGACCTAGAAATTGGAACTATTGAATCAGGAAAAGAAGGGAGGGAAAAAAAAAACGTCACGGGATTATGGGAACGGTGACCAGATTTGGGCGGATCCGTGTGTGTGTGTTGAGGAAAAGCTCTGTGCAATTCTCACGGCATGTGGCCCTTCTTAATTAAGCTTTGATTATGTTTCCCTCTTTTTTTTCTGTCAGGGAAAGACTGAGGCATTTTGTAAAATTTGGAAAGAGATAAGAGACATTATCAGACTGAATAGAATAATTGCTGCTCACCCCTCTCCCCAAATCTATTGGCAAGATGAGAATCTCCGTCCACTTTAAGGCTTCTGTTGCACACTGCAGGCAACTAAGATCCTAATTCTAAATTGTGGATGTTCACATTTGAAGCTACTGTAAATTTCTACTCAACAAAGATGTCCAATTAATGAGTTCATATGATTTATGATTGAATAAGTATTGACTGGCGGCACGCTGGATGACCTGTTAGCACGTCGGCCTCCCAGTGCGATGTGCAGAGTTCGATTCCGGCCTTCCTGTGCGGAGTTTGCATGTTCTCCCCGTGGCCTGCGTTGCTTTTCTCCGGGTCCTCCGGTTTCCTCCCACATTCCAAAAACATGCATGACAGGCTGATTGAACATTCCAAATTGTCCCTCGGTGTGATTGTGAGCGCGGATGGTTGTTCGTCTACATGTGCCCTGCCATTGCCTGGCAATCGGTTCAGGGTGTCCCCCGCCTGCTGCCCAAAGACAGCTGGGATCGGCTCCGGCACGCCCGCGACCCTCCTGAGAATAAGCGGATTAGAAAATGCACGGATGGATGGATGGTTAAGTATTGACTGAAAGGCAAGTCACCCCCGAGCAGACAATGAATTCGTATAGGCCAAATGTTCCGAAAGTGTGACTGGAATACATTAGATGGCAGCTCTTCTGTTGACTTATTTACATTGTGTTGCAGGTTCTGGTCTGCTTTTCATTTTCTGGAGGCTGACGCTTTGACGATAATAGTATTTATTTGCCGGAACATTACAACACGTTTGTATCGCATGTTCTCATGTTCCGGCAAGCTGGATTGATTTTTTTTCCTTTTTTTTTTTTTTCAAATCGCATATGAAACATGTTTATAATTCTTTTCTTGGTGCTGCATTTAAGTGCCGATAAACACGGACGCACGCTACATATGTGGGAGTCATTTACAGATGCATGCGCTCACCCCACAGCATTTGAATGCAGCCACCTCAAACCACCGTGACCTTTACTTTTCAGCCCACCTTGTTTCTTCCTCACATGACTGCCTCACCATGGGAAATGTCAGGCTCCCTTTTGCCAGGCCTGTTTGGCTTCTTCAATCATTTGCAAAGTGTTAAGCTCGTCGCGAATGCTTCGGAGACAAGTCTCTCAGGACCGCGGGTTGCCGACCCGCTACACGGGAAAGACAAGCCCAACACATGCACTCGGGCACATTCACTTGGCATCACGCCAATAAAATGGATGTATTACATCCATTTTTTTTGGGGGGGGGGTTGTGGGGTCGGGAGCTAGCTACTCAACATTGCATAATGTAATTGCTATATGCTAGCTGCGCAATAAACTAATGTCTTACATTTGTTCCAGAATCAGCGAGAAAATGCTAGAAGCGCTTAGGTGACCCTCCCTGTTGACACCAAAGGCAACTGCCAGCGCCGCCGACGTCTGAGATAGTCCCTCTCCAAAGTGAGAGACAATTTCAGCCTTCACAGACAGCGAGATTTGCTTCCGTTTGCCAGGCATGTTTTCCGAGCATGTGCTCAGGAGCGTGCCATGCCTCCGCGAGTTACGGCAGGAAGTACAACAATGTACCGAGTCGATCGGTCGCGTTGCTCAGCGACGGAGGTGAATCTCGCACTGTACGTTTTGTTCATAAACAAGGCCATGGCGGCAGTTAGCTTCCCACTGTTAGCCTGCAAAGGTGCAGGGTTCGATTCCGGCTGCGGCCTTCCTGTGTGGAGTTTGCATGTTCTCCGGGTGCTTCGGTTTCCTCCCACAATCCTAAAACACGCATCTCAGAGTAAAGCGAGTGCAGGAAAAAAAACTCCTCTTCGACACATTTATCTCGTTCGACCCACCGAGTCGATGTACTTTTGCGGTCGAACGCTGCATGCAGATGTGATTTTGTTTGTCAGTATTTAGACCGACGCACATGAATGGCAGAGCTCCATTGTGCGCACTCGTGGCGAAGCGTCTGGGATGGCACACAGCGCTGCGAAGACTTTTAGTCCATCTTGGTACGACACATGAAGGAACAACCGCAGAAATGCGCAATCGGATTTCTTTTTGACCACACGATGATTCGTTCATTTATTTACCACTGTTGTGTTTTCTCTCTTTCTATCCCAAATCCCAAAATATATTTTTTTCCTTCTATTTTTCACTTTAAGCTCAGGAGGAGAAAGAAAAAAAATAGTTTATTTTTCATGATTGGATTCATTTGACACAGGCATGAATGCTCCCATAATCAGCCAGTGTGCATCTTTCTGATAGAGATGAAAGAACAGAAAACACACACACACACACACACACACACACACACACACACACACACACACACATTTACACACTAAACAGGGGTTACGCAAGCCATTTGGCACCGATTTTTTTTTTTATCAAGGGAGGGCTTCAAAGTCCACCGACATGAATTTATGATAACGGTACGATGCGTTTGCCAAACGGCAACTGTTGTTGTTTTTCTCTCCCGCCATCCCCATCACGGCTGCCATCGCATTGATCAGAGCTTGGAAAACGGTCGCTGACCCCCCCCCCGGTGTCTCGGAGAGATGTGGTCGCGTGTGCGGTGTCATCGCTTTGCTGCAACTTTTTGACTTTTCTCAACGTAGCCTCTGCCAGCTGCTTCCGCTCGCTTGAGCTTCGCGAGAAAACGCCGCCGCCGATATCCGGCGCTCCTTTCCCCATCCATTAATTCCTCTCCGCCTTGTCTTTGCAGATGAGGACTGTTTGAATTGCACGGAGGAGTGCCGAGTACTGGGTCACTCCGACCGCTGTTGGATGCCGCAGTTCCCCGCCGGTGGAAACCAAGCGGAGGGCGTCGATTACCGCAACAACATGTTTGTGCCGGCGGGGATGGAGAGCCTGCCTGAGACGGAGACCTACGAGACCGTCAACCCCAACGGCAAAAAAACCTTCTGTACGTTTGGCAAGGAGCGCCGCGATCACACCATTCTCATTGCAAACGTCAAGCCCTACTTGAAGGCCAAGCGGGCCCTCAGTCCGTTGCTCCAAGAGGTTCCATCAGCGTCGGGCAGCCCGGTCAAGGGCGGCTCCGCCACGTGCGCCTCAGTGAAGAGTCCGGCTGACGGGGCGGAAGGCAAGCCTCCTCTTGCCACCTGCTCCGGC